GAGAATGAACAAGAGTTAATAAGTTTAAAGAGAGATCTTTTATTAAGAGTAGCTAGAGCTCGTAAGTACACAGAGGTTTTAGGTCGTCAGAATGAGACGGTCGACCTAAAACAGTAATGAAAGGAAACTCAGGAGCTTAGAACAACAGAATAGCTAGTTTGCCCTAAGTCTCGAGAGATGATTTGTCAATGCCTTAAGAAGTCAAGGGCATCTATATTTATACCCGACCAGGTCGGTCTTCCGGGAATAGCTTCTTTCATCCGAAATGGAAAACTTCCTTGCCGATAAGGAAAATCTTCCGTCTTTTTCGTATTTAATCCCATAAATAGATCCGGCCGACCTAAATATTTTTTAGGGTTCTCGAAATAGGCCAATCTCAATCGATGTTAGGCTTTAAGAGGGGGTACAAATCCCATCTCTAACATATAGTATAGATAATATTCAAAACATATTATAAGAATTTAATTATTATTTTATATAACTTTTACATCTGTAATTATATGTTACTGTAAACTCTAGGAAAAATAAAAAATTACAAAAGACACAAAACGATAGGAAACGTTTATGTGATTGTTGTTTAACACTAAAACTGTATGTATGTATAAAAACATATCGTTACATAATGTATTAAAAAATTAATCAATACTTAAATATTACAACTAATTATGTCTTAAAAAAATTATACCTGCATATGCGTGCGGGCCAAAAATAAAAATTAATTAAATTATTATAGATTTTAATATTTTCCGTTTATTTAGTTATCATATTTACATTTCTTTTTATCTAAGGAAATATGTTAAAATCTTAGTTAATATTTTTTTATCTTTATTTTCTTTTGAAATCTATAATATTTTATATTTTTATTATTAAATATTTATTATTTTATTATTAATACATAATTAATCATATACAAATGAAGCATTTTCAATATTATACTAATCATAATTGAATATATCAAATATTTTATAACCTGTACATAGTATAGGCCAATCACCTAGTTATCCAATAAGTGAGAATTTCAGCTTGCTTGCTTTAAATGCTTTAAAAACAAAAAGCTAAATATGGCGGTTCCATAGATGAAGGTTTCTTGTCTGGGTTGGTAACAAGTTTGTCACTAGAGAGACAAGCATACTCTTGGTGGCTGAAGCTGATACTGAATCCAAACAAGGCAAAGCTTACTAAATCAATTCAGTTAAGGTAATTTCAAACGTATTTCTTGAAAGTCTAAATATGGAAATATCGAATTAACTGGAAACGGGTGTAGAATATTGTGATCAAATATTTCATGATCAAGAGGTGTCTTGGCTAAATATTGAGTTGACCCGTAGAAATCGTGAGAGTTATTTAACGCTGCAGAATTCAATTGACAAAAGAGGAAACTGAGAGAGTCGCTCGAAAATGAGTTGTTTCTGTCGTGTGTGCGAAATATGATTTTGGGTTTGAATAGTATGCAGCTTTTTCACGTTTTCACGTTTTGGAAACTTGATTCTGTTATTTTTTACCATTCATGTTATTCATCATGTTTTCATGTTTTCACGTTTTTTTTATGTTTTTGAAACGTGATTCTGCTAGCGTGTTAAAAATATAACTAAAAAAAATAAAACGTGATTAATCTACTAAAAGTAGTTTTTCAGCGTTTCACAATTATTCAGCTAAAATATTATTCAGTTCAGTTCATTCCGCTAGTAACTTTTCAGTTATTCCGCTATTCTGTTATTTATCTGACATACCAGTCAGACCCTTTGTTTTTAATTTGGGGATTCTTATATTTTAATTTGGAGCTTTTTCTTTCTTTTAAACGCCTGCTAAAATGTTAATAATGAATGTGACGGTGTTAATCGTCAACGTAACAAATATTTAATTTGATACGTCTAAAAATAGTTTGGTATTTTAAATGTTTATTAATAAAATTTTGGTCTTTTCTGAAACTTTGGTATTTAAATAGCATACCCATCAGGGTAGTAATTAATTAATTTTTCAGGTATAGATGTAGGATATAAAGCTTCAAACTATAAAATATTGCTAGTCGTCGTCTTAGACTTAGAAGGTTATAAGATTTATGACCACACGTCGATCCAACGTTTTGGATCCAATATGGGGACTCATTTACAATCTGGTTAATTTGGGGATATAGGAAGGAATGTAGGTCAAATCTTAAATTTAAATTGCGCATGCAGCAGTGGTGAAATAACTAATTTATTTATTTATTTACTTTCTGTTTGATGAAATATATAAACTAATTCGGTATGTACGTGAAGCTCGATTTTTGGTACTCTCTCTAGATATAGTTTCAAGTTATCTTTGGTTTGAAGATGTTGTTGCATGTTCCACTTTCGCCATAGTTCAGCAATAAAAAAAAAAGCATTAATTAATGTCATTAGACATCTTTGTCACATACACCAAAAAAAAGATTGGCGTTGTCACTCTCCAAAATTTGTTACGTTTACCATTTTCATAAATTATCAAAACTTAGCTGACAATGACTTACACACGACCTATGTAATTGTCATAGAAATCCACGTTGTTAACAAAACGATCTTCTTCGATCACACAAACATATAGCAAAACATACAAAATGCACTTTCTCTAGTAATTAATGTGCTGGTTGTCTTCCACTCATTTGTAATTAGCAAACATTTTCACCAAAATTCAAACGGAAATGGTTTAATTCTACATTTCCACTTCAAACAATATGAACACTACTCATGTTTTAATTTGCATTTTCTGTCTTGGATAGAATTGGAGAGTTGACACTGATTTGGAAATGAGGTTAATCCCGACAATTTGGGGATTCGTATTTTATTTATAAAAACTTATACTCTGGCCCTTGGTTTCAGCACAAATAATGGTGTTGTCACATGCAGAGTACCATGCATGTGAAATGTGGTTCATTATATTGTATATGTGTATATACTTATATATAAATTAATATATTCATAAGTTTTTCTAATTAAAGGTGTATATATGTATTCTCACAGCATGTTCGCTTCATTCTTAGTTAATAGTTACGTGACATTATCCCATTCTATTTTAAAAAGATCAATAACAAACAAAATCTTAATCTAAAGTATAATGAACAGATTCACGGGCTACACTATTTTTACTAGACGCCAAAACTCATCTGCAAATACATTTCTCTCCTTTGTTATAATTTTTTATATCTTGTATTTCCCCTTTTTTTTTAAAAAAAAAATGTTTAGTTTTCTTAATACTAGCTAGTAGCTAACGTATCCTTATTTTTTAGTATTTACTTATCCACTATCCCAATAATGTACTGAAGTTTCTCTTAGCGACTCAGTCTATTCCATAAAGGGACAAATATGAAAATAATTTCACAGATAATTATCAATCACGGACTCATTCGATCACTTCTATTGGAAAGCTGAGATATTAAAAGGCGTGAGCAAAAAAAGGGTCTAAAAATGTAAGGGTATATATAGTAATAGTGCATGATTTGAGTAGCAAATGGTTAATGATTTTTATATGTTATTTCCCTAATCTTGTTTTTGAATTCTTGCAATACAAAAAGGAATATACTGGGACCGTTAAATCATGCAATTGGATGTCAAAAATAGCATTCATGCCAACTGAGGATTACCGTTCATTAATCATGTTGTATTTTTGTTTTTTTTGTTCTTAAATCAACGGCTTGTGAAAAACGTTTGCCAGTTTATAAAAAGCTACTTGAACGTGTAAAAAAAACTCAATGGATAAGTTTTGTGAAGTCTTAGCAAAAAAAGTACTAATAAGCATAGCACACATCTGTAAGCTAATTTGTTTTGTAATTAAATAATACAATACTGACCAGTGTCATTATTTTGACACTGATTATACATAACAAACATACTATAGCTTTGGACCTAGCTAGAATTGATTCTCTTTTCTCTATTTGTGTGTTTGTTATGGACTATATAACTAGGCTACAAAATTTATAGGTGGAGACAAAAAAAACTAAATTCCAAAAACTTGCCTAAAAACCTCATAAACAAGTTGAATCCAATAATCGAAATGAGCAAGAAAAGAGGAAGGATCACTTTATGTCTTCGTGGTAATCAGTCAAATGATAATGACCATTCCCATCATTAACTGTCTCGCCACTAGCCATTGCATCACAAAAAGAGTTTGCATCTCGCAAGTCTTTTTTTGTCTTGTTGTAAATCTACAACGTTATAGCCTAAGTACACTAGCCAAGAAAGTAGTCAAGGCTGTGTCTAAATTCTTAGACGAGTCTCAATAATTAAAATAAATGAAGTTTTTAAAGGAAGTGTATTTAGTCAAATGGTTAAAAGTTCATTTCAGCAATTCGTTTTCACCCAATTTCGACTCCATACTCTCACAAAAATATTGAGAAAATGGTCTAGTATTTATGAAAGATATCCGTTTGACAAAAAAAAAAAAAAAAAAAAAAAAAATGTGCCTTACATCGTATAATTGCTAAACACAACACAACGACTATTCTACTGTTAGTGATTGACAGAAAATAGCAAATATTAATCCCCATTTGTCTCTAAAAATTAAGAAGAAATATACAACGTAACTATTGAGACATAAAATATACTTTGTAGAAATGGAGATTTTCTTCTTATTTTAATGTTCCAAGAAAACTATTGAGACACTAAAAAATCGTTGTACAACTACGAGCATACGGAGATTCCGGAAAGTTTGACTAAACCCTTTTACTTATTTTTGTTACGACCAAGTGACCTGTAATATTGTACACAACTGCACATTATATTATAGTCCAAACTTAAATCGCAATTTGGCACGTTCATATCATCACGGATGATGATAATGAGAACATTATCATAAAAGAAAACAAAAATATCTTATATATAGATTCCTTTGGTCTATATAAAGAGGAAGGCGCCCAAGAGTTTTAACGTACTTCATCACTTCCATACTAAAACCAAACCCTAAAGCCTCTTTCTCAAGATGGGGCTTCTTCACAAGCAAAACCTCTCCTTTGTGATACTCCTCCTCCTTGGCTTGGCCGCCGTCTCTTACGCTTGTGACTGTAGTGACCCTCCCAAACCATCTCCACATCCGGTTAAACCGCCTAAACATCCCTCTAAACCGCCTAAGGCACCCACCGTTAAACCACCTCCTCCACCCCGAAAACCGCCAACCGTTAAGCCTCCACCTCCTCCCACTCCATGCCCTCCACCTCCGCACACTCCAAAACCACCCACCGTCAAGCCCCCGCCACCACCTCCTCACACTCCAAAACCACCCACCGTTAAGCCGCCGCCTCCTCCTCCCCCACCATACTCTCCAAAACCACCCACCGTGAAGCCACCGCCACCGCCAACTCCATTAACACCACCACCTCCTACACCATACACTCCTCCACCGCCAACCGTCAAGCCCCCGCCACCGCCAACTCCACTAACACCACCTCCTCCTACACCATACACTCCTCCACCGCCAACCGTGAAGCCACCGCCACCGCCAACTCCATTAACACCACCTCCTCCTACACCATATACTCCTCCACCGCCCACCGTGAAGCCACCGCCACCGCCAACTCCAACTCCAGAGACACCCTGTCCGCCACCACCACCTCCACCAACCCCATGTCCTCCTCCACCTCCAGCAACACCTAAACCGGAGACTTGTCCAATCGACGCGCTTAAGCTAAGCACATGTGTGGACGTGCTAGGCGGTTTGATTCACATTGGACTAGGAAAAGGCTACGCAAAGGCTACGTGTTGCCCGCTTCTTGGAGGTTTAGTGGGTCTTGACGCAGCGGTTTGTCTCTGCACCACCATTAGAGCCAAGGTTCTCAATATTGACCTGGTTCTTCCCATTGCTCTTGAGCTTCTTATCGACTGTGGTAAGACTCCACCTCGTGACTTCAAGTGTCCTGCTCCGCAAAAAAGGACTAATCTCTTGGCTTGATCGATCTTCTTCGTGTTTTGTTTGATACAATTAAAAAGAAAAAGGTTTTGAGACCTCAAGATCTACGTTCTTCTATATGTTTTGCGATTGCGGACACAGTAACTAAAAAGGATCTATATTTTCTTATTGCTCTAAATGAAAAAGCAAATTTTAATGTAATTGTAAGGTGATTGTACGTTGAAATAATTTTATTTGAAAAATGAAGAAAATAATAATAATGTTATTTGAAATTTGATATTTAAAGGGGATTTTAATGGAAAAAAAACCCTCAAGTTAAATATCGGTATATCTATATTAAACTTTTCAACTAAAAGTTTAAGGATTCAAACCCTATACTCAATTTCATTAGCGATATCAACCTCTGTTAAACGAGTGAAATGGCTACTAATTGACCAAAATGCTATGTTTTGGTTTGTCAAAGAAAAGACAGGTACGTGTGTATTCACGAGTTAGCTTTCATCGGAACTGATGTTGGAGGTTTAAATCAATAAACTTATAGCTGAGGGTTTAGAGTGAATATATCGATATTTGAGAGGTCTTTTCATTAAATTTGTTTTTGTAAAGCACAAAACACTACGCAATGGTCATTAGTCAATGCGTGTACATGTGGTGTCTTTGACCCATACTAAATCAGTCAAATTAACAAGGCATATAATATAATAACAGATACGTAAGTGCATTCATATATAGAAAACAACAAAAGGTTTATGGTCCCGTGCCTCTCGCCTTTTAGATTCCAAACGTACAAGTAACTAAGAGTTTGTGTCACATAGAATGTGGTCATCACTGATCGCCCATTTACGTTTGTACGTACCTTACTGTCGCAAAGATTTACGTTTACGCATGTTAAATTAATATTTATAATTTCAGTTAAACGAATAGTTTTACTTAATTTTTAATCAAATATTACTGTTCTAAATCGCAAAGGTAAATTAATGGATTCTCTTTGTAACACTTTATACATAAAACAAAACTACAAAAGAATCAGTCTTATATCTAATCACATACAACCTTGTTCCGAAACAAACGTGATATATGTATGTGGAGTGCCGTGCCTACAAATTTAAAGACTTGAGATAATATTTAATAATGTGGCCTTTTAAATTAATCAAATTATTCGTAATATAGAATGTATACTTTTTATTCAAAATTATTAAGTTCATTAATATTCTGTAAATGAGAACTCTTTACAATTTGTTAAAATATAGAATATACCAATCATTTTTATAAACACTAGGTATTTATCCGCGCTACGCTGCAGAATATTTTTTCTAGATTTGTATATATTTTTAATATAATAAAATTATTTCTATAATGTAAATGAGTATTATATTTATTTTTTATTAGCTTAAGTTATGTATTTATATATTTTAAATCTGAATAAATATTATATATCATTAATTTTTTATTTTTTAAAAAATTTAATCTACTATCAAATTTGTTTAGTTAACTATCTATGAATGTATATGTAAGAATAAAACAATACATTTTTAAGTATCTTCATGCTAATGGTAAATAAAATTTATTTTCTCTACTAAATTGCTACTTGATCCTCTTTTGAAATTATATAAAGCAAATTGCCATTTGAAAAAAATATTAATTAATACGATTATTTTAAACTATAAAATTTATTTGTTTATCAAATATTTATTATAGACATATGTTTCTAAAACTACCAAACTATAATCAATAACATTCATATCAAAATCATTACTATTACTTTAGAACTAAATAGAAAGTTCTATTTGAACTGTTGAAATATCAATTTAGTTGAAGTTAAATAATTTAATTTTGGTTACTATAAACATATTGTAACTTTGAAAATTAGCACAGAGAAATTTTATCATTTTACAAAAACCGAGAAATTGTATTTTCCGACAAAACAAAAAAAATATTTTCCCACAAAACTGAGAAATCGCCTATTCCCGCCAAAACCAAAAAAAATTCATTTTCTTGTCAAACCTGAAATTTCATTTTCCTACCAAAACAAAGAAATTACATTTTCCCTCAAAAACCAAAAAATCACATTTTCCCGCTAGAACCTGTGTTTTCCTGTCAAAACAGAGAAATCAAGTTTTTTCACTAAAACCAAAAAATTTCATCTTCCTGCAAAAACAAAAAAAAAATAGTATTTTCCCCTCAAAACCAAAAAGATATTTTTCCGCAAAAATCGTCTATTCCCACCAAAACAAGAAAAAATTATTTTTCTCATCAAATCAAGAATCACGTCTTCCTACCAAAACCGATAAACTACAATTTTCCGTGAAAACCAAAAATTGTATTATCTCATGAGAAATTGCATTTCCCGCAAAAACTAAGAAATCATATTTTCCCTCGAAAACCAAAAAAATCAAATTATATGTCAAAAACTGAAAATTTGCATTTCCCATCAAAACCAAGAAATTGTTTATTCCCGCTAAAATCAAAAAATTTTGCTTTTCTATCAACCCGAAAAATTGCATTTTCTGCCAAAATTGTCAAATTACATTTTTCTGCAAAAATCAAGAAATTACATTATCCATCAAAAGCCGAAAAATTGCATTTTCTATCAAAACCGAGAAATCGTATTTTTCGTCAAAATTGAAAAGTTTCATTTCTCTCGCGTTTTCTCGTGAAAATCAAATTTTTTATTTCTCACCAAAACCAAAAATTCACATTTTTCTGCCAAACCCGAGAATTCGTTTTTTCCGCCATAACCGAGAAACTATGTTTTCCTACCAAAACTGAAAATCATATTTTTCTACCAAAACCAAGAAATTCTCTATTTCCGCCAAACCCAAGAAAATTTGTTCTCGGTAACCAGTGGAAATGCGAATCTCCAAGCTGTGGTGGTCTGAGTTTCTTTTAATTTGCTTTCACCTTCTATTTTTTTTGTAAACTTTGAGCTTTTTAATGGATCAGCAAAATAGTAAATTGATTTTATTAGTGTGTTAATAATATGTATTATTGTTATGTTTTTATTGGTTTAAATTTTTGCTGATGTGTGCGCTTCTTATAACATAACGCTTTTTGCATTGTTGCTATGGAACCATAGTTGATGATGAGTCTACACTTTCTTCAATCATATACATATCTATCAAGCAAACATATAGGTAGAAATTTTAATTTTTTTGCTGTTATTTATTATTTGAGTTTCGGTTTGGCAAAATTATAAAACAAATATTTAATTTTATTATTTGTTGTTATTTATTATTTGGGTTTGACAACAAAATAAATTAATTTTTTTATTTGCTGTTATTTATTATTTGGGCTTGGGCTTGACCAAAAAATAAAACTAAAATTAACAATAAAACATATTTGGATTTTTAATGGGTTTAAATTTAAAAGTTAAAATATATTGATGACTTGTATTATTGAAATGTTTTTATTGGTGTTTTTTTTGCTGAAGTGTCATCTCCAAAAAGCTTGAAAATGCTAATGTGTCAAGCCATGGAGAGACTTATGAGTTATTGTTGTGTTGATTATATTTATTGAAAAAAAAAGTGAAACAAAACCTTCAGACATATAATTGAAAAAAAAAACGTAAATGAACTTTATATTTTAGAAAATAAAACTATAAAAGCATTAAATATATAAATGACAAGGAAAATAATCATACATAAAAGAATAAAACTACCAGTCAAACAAAATCTAATTAAATAAGTTTGATTCTTACAATTAAATAAAAGATGAGCAAAACAAATGAGAAACATAACAAAAAATAAAGTAAATATATTTTGAAAGTAAAAAAAAAAAAACATCATACATAAATCTTACATGTTTTCAACATCTCTAAGCTCTTCATACGAGCTAGGAATTGCTCCTCTTGACTTGTTGAAACTGAGATCTCTGCAGATGGTGTAAGAGTCAGCTTATTTACAATAAAGGATATAAGACAAAGTATAAGGACATGCTAGATCTGATCAAGGAGACAAAGTACTTGTTTAGGAACCAGGAGTTTGATTTCAACTTTGATGTCTATAGACGTTTTAGGTCTGGTGTTATATTTTGTTTGTTTGACTCTTGCAATGTAGAGAGGTTTGGGGTTTTATTTGATTAAATATATACTTAGAAGAATCTCAAGTTAAGGGGATTTGTTCCAAGGTAGAGGGTAGGTTTCCTGTAAGATTTATGTTTCTCATAACCCTGCAAAAAAAGAAACAGCAAGTGAACATTAAGTTTTGGCACCACCACCATAGACTACTTACAAATCTTTTAACTTTGTGAGATGAAAAATTGACGGAGGAATAGGTCCAAACAATCCACTTGCATAAAGAGCCCTGAGGCAGAGAGACATGGACACGTCATTAACAGTTAAAAAAGTTAGAAAACAGAAAATAAAAATAATCTGTATAAAGGGTCTTACAGAGTCTCAAGCTGTGTCAACTTTCAATGAAAGCTGGAATGGTTTCTCTGAACAAGTTGTCACTGATACAGCTATTTACAGAGCAAAACAAACATCAGAATATAGTTGTCAAATAATCTTGTAGCAATATGGTTTATGGGTTGAATGCGAAAGCTCTAAGCCTAGGGTTCAAGTGTTCGAGACATTAACAAAAAAATGTACTTTGTAGAGTTATTTTATAAGAAAGAGTACTTTCTTCAACTATGGTAGTTTTTTTGTCTTTTTTCCTACTTTTTACATGTATTTTGTCTATCATACCCTTTGTAAAATCATCATTCTTCTTTTCTGTCCTTCTTCACATTTACAGATCTATGATGTGGATTGATTTCGTGGTAAAGTAGTGATAACATTGAGATTTATTACAGTAGATCGAGGTAGAGGACGAAAATGTGTGGATAGATAAAACTGAATATGTGATTTGATATAATTTACATGGATAGACTTATATAGATATGAGATAATGGACGATGTATAATTGTGGATTAACAGATGTGGATCCACGTGGGCTAAATAGTAGTAGTGTAATATTACAGAGTTTTCTATGAATATCCGTGGATAGATAAAACTGAATATGTGATTTGATATAATTTACGTGGATGAACTTATATGGATATGAGATAATGGATGATGTATAATAGTGGATTAACAGATGTGGATCCACGTGGGCTAAATAGTAGTAGTGTAATATTACAGAGTTTTCTATGAATATCCGCACGTAGTAATCCATGAATAACTGTCCATCGATGGTTTTGAATATTTTGATAGATGTTAGAATTTTTCAACTCATCCACATGTGGTTATCCATGAGTATCGTGTGGATGGTGTTGTGTATGTAGTTAAGCTTTAGTTAAGCTTTGGCGAGAGAGAGAGAGAGAGAGAGAGAGAGAGAGAGAGAGAGATTTCAAGGGCATAATAAACTTTTTTCATGGTAAAAATACTATTCATGTCTAAAAAAATGTCTTTTCTTGATATTATACTTCTACAAAGTACTCTTTTTGTAATTATCTCATTTAACAATTGACTAGTTTTAACTTTGGATTGAAACTTTTAAATTTTAAAGGGTTTAGATAGGAAACGCAACAAACTTCTTTTTTCCTCACTGATACAGCTATTTACAAAGCCAAAGAAACATCAAAATCACAATGTATACATAATATATAAAATAATCAAAGCGACCCAAAAGTTATTCAGACAAGACTACTAATAATATCTTCATATTGGTCAGTTTTGAAAACGAAAA